TTCTTTTTTTGTTTTGTTTTGTTCATGTTTCCTGACTTGCCTAGTAAACCACTGAATGTCTTTACAGCACACCTAAAAAGTTAGTCTTGGTAAGTCGAGTCAGGCCTATATGACTTTACTAAACATGAATGTCATTGGAGTTTTTCCCAGAATAAGAACTATATGATGTACACTAATAGCAAACTGAGCCCCCTGGTTCTAAAAATTCAAACTGATAAAGGCAGCTTAAGACTCTAAGCAAAATTCCAATAGTGATTTAGTTTGCAAAGTGTTTAGAACAAGGCCCATCAGAACCTTTAAAATAAAAATAAAGCCGTGACTCCATCAACTTCCAGGACCAGTTTTATAGGTAACTCTACCCAGCAGAGCATTGGGATCCAATTAGGAACACTCCTAAATTGTTAAAGTCCCTCCTCTTTGATCCAACTACTGATGATACCTGGGGAGATATCAAAGACAGCAGTGTGCACTGCACAGAGAAAATTCTGTTCTAAATAAATATCAATTTGTTCATAAACACCCTCTTTTAGAAGAATTCTTTAGGCCTTCTTAGCTATTTTTCTGTCCTATACTAGCACTACATGAAGCAAAATCTTACTATATTTACCCTTCCTTTTATTATTATGCCAGCAGAAAAAAAAATGCATGTCACACTTTCTAAGAAAAGTTGAGAGGGAGGGTGAGAAGCAGCCTCCCTGTCTGTGTGGGCTCATTCCCATACAATGATGGAAGTCTGTACGAATTGAAAATAGATTGACTTAAAAGCAGTACTAGGGTTTAAGACTTGAGAAACTGGTTTCCAAATTTATGTTTTAAATTATAGAAATTAACTTCATGTGATTTAAATTTCAAAAGTTAATTTAATTTTGTTTTCAGGAAATTTTCTATTGTGCTAACAGCTTTTGTTTTACTTAAACTGTCATTCATTTTGAATGAAATTTACAAACTTCCCAAACTATACTAATTGCAGTTTAGATCTACCCGAAATGAAGGTTACAGGAAAGTAATGTAAACATTCATTCAACGGATTTTTCTTTTACGGTTTTTTTCATTTCTTCCATGAACTAGACTGCCGTGCTTGGTGCTGAGACAGCAGAGACAAAGAGTGCAGGGTCCCAGTGAGCTCCTAGAGGAGTTAGTCAATGCTAATGCAATGGGACCTTCATGGGGTGTGTGCTGGGGCCACTGAGGAGGGCACCCAGCCTCAGCTGAAGAAATGCTTCAGAGGTGGCGACATCTTAGCAGGAAGCTCAAGAGTCAGCCAGGGCCAGGGGAGCGGACAAGAAAGGTGAACGAGACAGAGGGAACTGCATATGCAAAGGTTAACAAGCTTTGGAGATCACAGAAAATTTGAGGAACTGAAAATAGGGCAGGAGGGTGGGAATATGGAGGCTTTGGAGGGAAGTGGGTGAAATCTTTCAGAGATGTAGTTCATGAGAGGAGCAAGGGCTGCATGACAAAGGCCATGAACATGCCCTTTCTCTTAAGGGGACCAGGAGAGCTAGTAAAAGATTTTAACCAACGTGTGACCAGCTTTGTGTGCTGTAGCCGGGATGGCAATAAAAGAATAGATAAAGGCAAAAGAAAGACTAAGAACATGCAGCTCAGTCATACCTAGTCTTCTTAGGGAACAGAATGTGCCCCCTACACCATTGGAGTCTACGTTTACTGAGTAAAGGATGACCACATAGTTAGTGGAACTCTATTGTACATACGGTGTCTATATTAAGAAACCAAAGCAGCTTAATCATATAAATTGTTAATAAATAAAATTATGATTTTAACTCTAGTACCTGAAATAGGAATGAAATATGAGATAAGACTTTGGTTTCTTCCCTTACCCTAAAACTATCGCATGGCTGAGGGACCTGGTGTTGAAAGGAACCATCTTTCATTTCATCTACTTGTAGGCAGGCCTAATGAGAGGTGATGTTTAAACATTTCAAACCAAATTCCCTCAGTGTGTAGGGTGTTAAGTAATTTGTTATTTTAAGCAATTTAAACAGGTATTTGCATATACAAGCAAGCATATTCTTTGAACCAGCCCATTACATAACCTCACTTATCACTGCAGGTAATAAACTACTATGAATGCAGAATCAGATATATCCAGGGTTCTCAGTGTGTGCACATGTGTCTAGACCAATAAGAAACAGACACACTTGTTAGGGACAATAACTGCCTTCCATTTCACTTATCCCTCATGAATTATTTCTGCTCTCAATTTCAAATTAAGAAAAATGCATCATATTTCCTAACGCATGCTATCAGATAAGTACTAGGAGAGTTAATATTGATAACAGCTGTACACGAATGTGTTGGAGTGAGCCATGTGATTCTGCTGCTGTAATACCTAGAAACAGAGCATTCTATCTATCACCTTTTCTTTTCACCCTGCATCCTACTAGAGGCATCTCATTCATTCATTCATTCACTCATTCAGCCAACTTGTTAAGGCTCCTCCTATATCCATGTTTTGAATATTGATGGTGGGCTTTCATGTCAAATAAGGTACAATCCTGCCCTCCAACAGCTGACAAGTGGCTGAGGGGTTGGAATTATTAATGGTGCTTCAGAAAAGGACGATGTTTGTGTTCTAAGAGGCTGCATGGCCTCTGAAGCTGGGCTGTCCAGGCCTTGAATCCCAGCTCAGCCACACACAGTGTCAGACCTTTGCAAGTTCTTTGTCTACTATGAGCCTTAAGTTTCTCATCAAAATGGAAATCCTAATAGCACCTACCTAATATGACTGTTGTGAGGATTAAATAAAGATTTGTAAAGGGCCTGAAACAAGACTTGGCAGATTGTAAGGGCTCAATCAATTTTTGTTATTATTATTATATTTTTTAAGACCAAGTCTCACTCTGTTGCCCAGGCTGGAGTGCAGTGGTGTCATCATAGCTCACTGTAACCTCAAACTCCTGTGCTCAAGTGATCCTCCTGCCTCAGCCTCCCAAGTAGCTGGGACTACAGGTATGTGCCACCATATCCAACTAATTTTTCTATGTTTTGTAGAGACAGGGTCTTGCTCTTGCTCAAGCTGGTCTTGAACTCCTGACCTCAGGCAATCCTGCTTTGGCCTCTTAAAATGTTAGTATTACAGGTGTGAGCCACCGTGCCCAGCCTGTTGTTATTATTATTATTATTATGATTATTATTACCAATGCCTGGTATTTAGGCCTGGAGTTCCTCGTCAGAAATGATTTCAAAGAAATCCTTTAGTGTGTGCTTACCATCTGCAGGGTAACACTCTTGCTGCTACAGGGGACCCAAAGGTGGGCATTATATTCTAGCAGGTAGAAAAGACCTTCACACTGATAACCATACACAGGGTAGATGTGCTCAGTCCTACAGGCCAGCTGATTATCTTGTAGTTCCTGTGTATGGATCAGGCATCTGAGCGTGGTTTAGCTAGATTCTCTGCTTCACAGTCTCTCACAGGCTGAAGTCAAGTTATTGACCGGGGGTGTGTTCTCATTTGAAGGCTCAACTGGAAAAGGATCCCCTTCCAAACTCATGTTGGCAGGATTCAGTTTCCTGAGGGTTGTTGGACTGAGGGCCTCAGTTCCTTGCTGGCTGTTGGCCGGAGGCCTCTTGCAGTGCTTTGCCATGTGGGCCTCTCCAACATGGCAGCTCACTTTATCAAAGCATGCTACTCCAATAATGCGATAGAGTCTACTAGCAAAAAGGAAGTCACAATCTTCTATAACCTCATCACAGACGGTAATGATCTGCTCAGGGCAGTGAGGGAAGCAAAACTCCCCATAGCAATTGTCTCTTTGATGCACTGTGCCCTCACCAAAACACAGGTGAGGACCCAACCTCTTTATGTTTCCCCAGTGGTTTCTTAAGAGTTAGATTCTGGGAGGGAGCCAGCTGCCCAGCTTAGTTTACCCTCTTGTCAGCAAGCAGAAGTTCTATGTCAGTTACTCGTATGTTAATCTTAGCTCCTTGAGCAGTTGTGGTACTCTGTCTAGGTCTCCTAAAGTCCACCAGATGGGTTCAGTATGCCCATCCCCCAGTTTCTATAGGCTTTGCTCCCAAGAGTTCACATCTCCAGCCTTCCTCAGAGAACTCCTCTTGGTAACCTGGAACCACTTCACTTAGATGTTTCCAGAGCCAAAAGAGCCTGGGATCTCATAACCCCCATGGTGGCCTGCAGCCAATGACTGGTACAGAACTATAGACACCTAGCCCCTTGCTTTCAAGCAGAACAAACTCTGCTGGGTAATTTATTCTCAAAACCTGCTAGGGAGTCAGGCTGAGGCTGGAACTTCACTTTAAATCACAACCTTGCTAGGTGCTATAGACTGAATGATTGTTTCCTGTCCCCAACCCCATTCATATGTTGACATCCTAATCCCTAAAGCAGGCGTCCTCAAACTACGGCCACATGCGGGCCACCTAGCACGTTTATCCGGCCCTCTGGATGTTTCTGCCACCGGTGCCTGTCCTGCCTAGCAGCCAACTTGTCCCAAGCCCACAGTGTGCACTCTCCAACTGTCTGAGGGACAGTGAACTGGCCCCCTGTTTAAAAAGTTTGAGGACCCCTGCCCTAAAGTGGTGATAATAGGTGTTGGGATCTTTGAGAGATGATTAGATCATGAGGGTTCCACCGTGAAGAATAGGTTTAGTGGCCTTATGAAAGAAACACCAGAGAGCTAGCTAATCCTGAGGTTATAGTGAGAAGATGTCCACCTATAAAGCAACAGGCCCTCACCAGACATCCAATCTGCCAGTGCCTTGGTCTTGGACTTCCCAGCCTCCAGAACTGTGAGTAATAAATTTCTGTTGTTCATAGGCCAACCGGTCTGTGGTATTTTGTTTAGGCTGCCCAAATGGGTTAAGATGCTTGGCTTGTTTTTGTTCCCTGTTCTGCTTTTCCTATTCCCAATTTCTCTTGGAGTAACTGGCTTAATAAATTACTTGCATGCAAATCCTTTCCTCAGGGTCTACTGCCTCTGAGGAACCTGCCCTAAACAGCTGGTGCACAGGTAGTCTTCGGAAGCTGATTTTAAGCATGGGATTCTGGATTCAGCTCATTTGTCAGCAAGATGAAAATGTGGACCCTTGTAGTAGGTCACATTTCATATCTTTTGTTGTTGTTGTTATTAGAAATGTGGCATATCTTTATTTTATATAAAAGACAATTACATACAGTAATACATCATTTAAGGATGTACATAAAAATAACCCTTTAGTTAGTACTACATGATAAAGCATCAAGAAAGAAGAATGCTTTATGTACCTAGCATTAATTGTGGCATTCTCTCTCTTTGCCTCATTGCAGTTACTAAGAATTTCACCCTCGGTGAATTGTGATGGGATACAGATGGAAGGGGATTCACTGACATGTGCAATATCTCTAGTTTTGAGACGTGGCAATTACAATGATTGTGGAATTGGGTGGAGCTGGGCTTGAGCAGGTCCAGAGCATATGAGTAAGCTGCACAAAGTGGGGGCCCAGACCACTTGTCATCTATCAATCAATACATCTCCATCTGCTCACCTCTATGGCCTCACAGGGGGCCCCCTATGATCAGCTGACAGAGGAAATCTTCCAAGTTTGGTTCATGGATGGCTCAGTACATAGGTGCAAACTGAAAATGGACTACTGCTGCACTATAGCCCCACTCAGAAGTGGCTCAGAGGAGACCAATGAGGATAAATCATTGTGATGATCACCCATTTTGTATGGAAAGAGAGGTGGCTCACAGTAAGGATATATATAGACTCACGGGTGGTGGCGAATGACTCCAATGGTTGGTCATGAGTCCAGAAGGATCTTGATTAGAAGATGAGGACAAGGAATTTTGAGGGAAGAAGATCTACATGACTGGGCACAATGGGAGTAAAGATATTTGCACTCTACATTGATGTCTACCAGCAAGCATTCACTGCAGAGGAGGCAGTAAGCAACCAGGTGGACAGGATGACTCATTCGGTAGGTGTCAGTTTAGTCCTTGGTCCTTAGTACCCTGGTCCTTGCCCAATAGGCCCGTGAATGTAGTAGCTACAGTGATAGAATGGAGGCTCTGCATGAGGGCAAAAGCATGAACTCCTCAACAAAGCTAATCTAGCTACTGCCACTGCTGAATGTCTGACCTGCCAATTACGCAGACTGACTGAGTCCCCAGCGTACCTTTATTCCTTAAGGAGACTAGCCAGCGACTTGTGGCAAGTCAGCTATATAGCACCTCTTTCATCCTGGAAAGGGCAACATTTTGTTCTGACTGGGGTTGATACAAATTCTGAATATGGATTTACCTTTCCTACCTGCAGTGCTTTGGCAAGATCTACTATTCTAGGACTCAGAATGTCTGATTTACTGACACAGGATTCACAAAACATTTTTTTCCCTCACTTTTTGGCAAGGGAAGTACAGTGGTAAGCACATAATGGTGAGAATCACTGGTCCCCACAACACACTACACCATGCAGCAGCTTCTAGTCTGTTGTAACCAGATTTTGAAGGCATAGTGAGGCACTAACTTAGAAATGACACCCTGTGAGGTTGGGGTGTGACATCTTTCAGGACATGGTATATGCCTTAAACCAGTGGCTGTTATACTGTATTATATCTCCAGCGAGTTGCATACATGGGTCTGGGGGTGGAAATAGGAGTAGCCTGGTTCATTGTCAACCCTCAGAGACCCTCTTGGGCGAATGTATGCTTCCTGTCCCCACAACTGTAGGACACTGGGTCTAGAGGTTCTAGTTCCCAGAGGGAGAATGCTTTGCACCAGGGGACACAAGAAGAGTCACACTAAACTTAAAGCTACAGCTGTGGTCCTATCATTTTGGACTCCAAGAAGGCAAAAAAAAAAAAAAAGCAGTTGCTGTACTGGCAGGGGTAACCGACTCTTGTCATCATGAGCAGGCAGGGCTGCTGCTTTGTAAAAGGGCAGGGAGGAATATGTTTGCACTCAGCAGATCCACTGGAGTGTCCCTTGCTGCTCCCATTCCCAGTTGTTACTGAAAATTGTCAATTACAGCAACCACTAGATGATAAAGACATGGTAGTAAGGACTTTAGATAAGGAGATGAAGATTTGGATCACTTCATCAGGCAAACCGCCTAGGCTGGCAGAAGGGCTAATTGATGAAGAGAATCTAGAATGGATGGTAGAGAAGAGAGACAATGAATATTAGTTACTGCTGGGGCTGGGCATGGTATCTCACGCCTAATATCCCATGGTAGCTCACGCCTAATATCCTAGCACTTTGGGCAGCCAAGACAAGAGGATCGCTTGAGGCCAGGATTTTGAGACCAGCCTCAGCAACATAGTGACACCTCATCTATACAAAACATTTTTAAAAATCAGACAGTTGTGCACACTTATAATCATAGCTACTTGGGAGGCTGAGGTGGGAGGATTGTTTGAGGCCAGGAGTTCAAGGTTACAGTGAGCTATGATCACGCCACTGCACTCCAGCCTGGGTGAGAGACAGTTGAAACTACCTCTTAAAAAAGAAAAAGAAAATTAGTCATTGCTGTGGTTTGTCTCACTAGATCTGTGAACAATTAGAATCTTGAATAATCTGTGACAGGATGAAGTGGGCTTAATGTGAAAAGCATATGAATCCATCCTGGGTGCTGTTGGGACTATGCCCAGATCCCTCCAGATCTCTCTTTCCAGGTCACTGCGCCCACTCCCAGCTTCTAGGTGGTTTAGCTAAAGGTGCTTGCCTCCGACTTCCTTCAGAGAACTTCTTTCCCTCAATCTACAGGAGCTGCTTCACCCAGACTTACCCCAGAACCGGGAGTGCTAGGTGTTTGTGTCCCTGTACCCTTTCCAGGAGGGACCATTGCCAATGACTAACTGGTACCGGGGTATAAAATAAAACCCAGCTCTCCTTGCCTCAAAGGTGGGATAAACTCACTGCGTAATTTATGCTCCAGAGCTACTCTGGGTCAAGATGGGGCTGGAACTTCACTTTAAATTGCTCCCTTGGCTTCTTGTCCTTCCCTGTTCTGCTTCCCTTTCTCCCTTCGTAGTTTCTCCTGGAAGCATTTCCTTAATAAATTGTTTACACACAAGTCCTTGGCAACCCAAGACAGTTCCCTAGTAGAAAATAAACTCTTAGTGAACCGATCCTGCACACAAGACGAATTTTTTAATCTTTCACAGTATCTAGCCCACCGTGGGATACCTACCATGAGTCAACACAAGTGGTTTAGATTTTCTTTATTTAGTAAGATTTGATGATCCTAAGTGGTGGTTCTAGTAGTACATTGCAGAGTGGGACATCTGTAAATTATCAGTGATATGTGAACGTATGGCCCAGATTTTTTGGAGAACCCTGATTTCAAGTCTTCAATCCCCTGGTCAGACCATGTTCCAGACAGTGTGTGACCCAGTTGGTGTGGGTGTGGGTGTGTTTGGACAGTGAAAGGGATGATGTGCTGGCCCAGAGTCAGCCGAGAGGAGAGAACGAGCATTATAAAAAGCCGGGGACCTTGAAGTTCAGCAAAACGAGACCTCAAGTCCTGGCTCCATCCCAACCAGCTGTACGACCTTGGCCACATTGTACTGTGTTAAAAATGAAGTTCCTAGCTCGTGCCTCACAGGATTGAAAGAGAGATGGTGTGTACAAAGTGCTTAGCATTGCTCCTGGATGTAGCCAAGTTCAAGTAATGTTTCCTTTCGGAGAGGGGAAGAGCCCTCAGTGGAGTCTGGGGACTTTACTCTCCTCGTACAGCCAGCAGGCACAACGGGGACGAGGTCAGAGACTACGTTGGAGCGTTTTCCTTCATTTAAGTTTGCTGAGCGGTGTTTTCCTCCCAGGGCACAGGACACAGTCCTTTGTACGCCAAAGGGAAAGGGGACTGTCTCTCGGCCCGGAAGGGACAGCGGACAAGGCTCGCTGAGCCCCTGGGCCACCAAGTGGATTCCGACCGACCCTCCCCCACCGCCGTCTCCGCGGGGCAGAAGTAGGTGAAGGGTGGAAGCCGCGAGACCGCGCCGCGGAGGCGGACGCCCGCCGCCGGTTTCCTAGCAACGCCCGCCCCGCCCCGCCCGGCTGGCGAGCCGGCGCCGGGAAGCGGGGCTGGGGGCAGTGGGCGGGCCGCCGTTGCCATGGCAGCGCGGCCGCCGCGCCCGTCGCCGGCGTGGCGCCTGCCGGAAGCGTCCGCCCCGGGCCCCGCGTGGGCGGCCGGGTGGCGACTACACCCGGCTCCCGCGCCCACCGGGACCTGGCCTTGCTCTCGCGGAGGAACCGAGTCGCCCCTAAACGTGGCGGGGCCGCGAGGCCGCTTTGCCCCGACTCTGCCCCTCGCGGACTGTGGCCGGCTAACGGCTTGGAGACTGTCCAGTTTGTCCCGCGGGGACCGAGGTGGTTGGTCGGCGGGGCTGGGTGCAGGCGGAGGGGATTTTTTTGGTTTTGGAATCTCGTCGGCCTTTTCCCCCCTCACCTACGCAGGAGTGTGCGCGCGTGCACACTCTCACGTCTGCGGCCCGCCCTTTTCCCTCGAATGTTCTCACCTGAAGGATCTTTAATCTTGGCACAAGAATATGCAGAAAACTGAGCGGCTTGCAAAACCTGCCTTTTAAAACAACACTGAAAATAAGTATCATATTTCTCAAGGGGCATTTTAAACTGAAAACGTCCATGCCTGGAAGGGTATTTTGGATTCTGGACTCGAATTTGCATTCTTCTAAACCCCTTTTTGCAATGAGCTGCAATTGGAGAAATCCGCAGTGGCGCATTAAATTTAAACGTATTCCCCTCTAGCGAAGGGCAGTGATCCCTCTGCCAAAGGACCCCCTCCCAAAGACAAAGCCACACGCTCCTCAGTCTTCCCCCAGCTTGAGAGTATTTTTAACAGAGGCGGAGTCAGTCACGTGTTTGTGAGTTTAATCAAATTGACAAGGGCTCTGAGCGAGAAAAGCTTGCTATCTAATTCGAAGAAAACATTAGGTACATAGAGATGCATTTTCTTTGGACTTATTTGAATCAGAGCTTTTCAAATGGAATCTTCTGCATATATTTTTCTCGATCTGATGCAACTGGAAAATTTAAATCAAAATCGTATCTCTTATATTCATTTTATGGCAAATGTGCTGGTAAATGTGTCTGGGCTGAGATTATGCATTTTCTTGATCAACAAGGAAATGCGCAGCAATCACTGTGAATTGAGCACCTTGCTGATTGAGCAACACTTGAACCTAGGGGAGGCATGAATCTTAGACCATAATTTTAGAATGAGAATACTCCACAGTGTATTTCAAAAGCATATTCACAGCTAACCTTTATCTGCTCCGAAGGATCATTCGCTTGGAGCTACTACTACTTCACTTTGCCAGAGTATTTAATGTCTTCCCAAACTACTTTCACACACTTTTTAGTTTGAAAATGTAATTGTGGTTGGGCAAGTGACCATATAAAAGTTATACATGTATTTATATATATATATATATATATATATATATATATACACACACACACATATATATCCCCTTACTCCTAGATCAATTTTTGCCCAGTATCAAAAGAGAACCTTTAATTTGCATAGTTGAGAATAGAGAATAAATTCTGAAAGCTAAATCAAGAGTCTGAAAATAATAGTTTCATGTTTAGCACTATTGGAAAATAGAAAAGAACCTATAAAACTATCTCTAATGACTTTTTTGTGTAAAAGGCAAGTCACTAAATTAATTTGCTTGAGATGTAGTTTAAATGTTATAATAGCAAAAAAACAATAACAGTAAATTTTATAATAAAATATTAACATTTGAAACGTTAATTTTCATAGCTTCTCTGATTATCCATTCGTTATCCTAAAGTTCTTTCCACAGAGCTTATTGTCAGTTTGAGCCGAGAACAACTTGACTACAGGATATGGTTAAGGGCCCAGCGTCTGGCAAAGAGAACTGCCCAGATCAGCTATTTAACTGGTTGGTGTTTCTAGTTAGAGGTTTAGTTATGCACATGAGTTAGCCCAAACTTCACTCATTTCACTTCCTTGACTACTTTGAAGAGTTAAATAGACACCAGAGCAGCCCATAGGATTTATGCATATCCTACTTTATTAATAATGTTGGAATGTTGAGAACCTCACTGGATTTTTCACGTAACTTCCTGATGTGAAATGATCTCCATACAGCCATTCCAGCTAATTTCCAGGATTACAAGGTTTCTGCCTTATCATTTATGGTTATTGTTACCTCGGGAACCTAATATTTATCAAACACGAGATCCATTTTGCATGCTCACCTTTTCCTCTTTTTCAAATAATCAGTGACCTTAAGCTTTAAGCATCTTATCGTTATTACAGACTACCAGCCTCTTATCTAATCCTGCATTAAACTCGATTTACTGCTTTATCTATACCACTTTAATCTTTTAGAAGCTTATCATAATATGGACTCTTTAATGAAATATTTTTATCATAAGAATAAACTAACCTTTCTCCATCCTTCCAGACTTCTCTACTTTCGCTCATTTACCTATATGCCTTTATCCTTCTTTAAATATTCATGCTTCCCAGTTTCATTTTGTATATACAATGAAATAAACCAGAATGCTTATCTTGTTACCGCAGAAATGGTTGTGTTACCGGAAAATATGGAATCTTTTTGTTTAACTCGTAATGTGTTATAGTTAGCTCTCCTGATCTCAGAAAAATACAAATGCTTCTGTTGGTAGAAGACTCCCCTATCCTGAAATCCTAAAATATCTTTTTTTCCATCTAGCTGTAAGTCTACCTAACATTATCAAATCATTCCTTTGCATTCAAAGGGGCAATATTGTGTGGTAGTTAAGAGACTAGACTCTGAACACAGCCCTGGATTCAAGTACTGGTTCTAACACTTACTAGTTGTGTGACTTGAATCATGAGGTTTTTTAACTTCTCTAGGCCTCAGTTTTCTCATCTGTAAAATGGAGATAACAACATTCGTTAAGTTTGGGTATTTTTAAGGATTATAGTAGATAGTTATTGTAAATTGCTTGGCATGCAGTCAGCACTCCATAAATGTCTGCAGTGACTGTCATCATCATTATTATCATCAGTATTAAAACACTACTTCCACAGTCACCAGTTAACTCAGCCTACATTAGTTTAGTAGCCAGGCGTCCTCAAACTATGGCCCGGGGGCCACATGCGGGTGTTTTTGCCCATCTGTTTTTTTTACTTCAAAATAAGATATGTGCAGCGTGCATAGGAATTTGTTCATAGTTTTTTTTAAACTATAGTCCAGCCCTCCAATGGTCTGAGGGACAGTGAACTGGCCCCCTGTTTAAAAAATTTGAGGATCCCTGGATTAGACTATCCACAGAGGAACAGGATTCATACAGGACATAAAACAGACATTCTGATGAAAGGAGGGAAGGGGTACAAGGAGAAGGGAAGAGTCCGGAGCCAGCAGCTAGAGGGGAGCACACGTGGACATCTTGGGAAGCGAAAGCACAGTCATTGGGCACCTGAGATTATAAAGTGGGATAAAAAATAGTCAGCGCTGACAGTAGAATAATGTTTATAAAATTAGTCTTGACATAGATAAAGCTGTGAGAGATAAGAATTTTAAATACATGTAAGATAGTGAGACCTATTATATAGGAAAAAAAAATTTTAAATGGAGGAGTCTGATGAATTCAAAAGACTGAGACCTAGACGGGAAGATGGTTTTCATCAGTTGGGGTCCCCTGGCAGAGATCAGAAGCTACTCCAGGGAACTTAAGCAGAGGGAAATTTGTTATAGGGTGATAAATGGCTTCCAGATTTGTTTTTAGGGTTGAAGAAACATCCTAGGGGTCCAAACCACCACAAAGAACCAGGTCAGTGCGGAAGCTGCCGGCTTTTGTGCAACAAGAAACTAGCTACCTGCCAAGTTGTGAAGCTGCCACTATAGGAGTTGGCTTGGGAGCCACACTGCCATGGCCATGATCAGAAATCTGCCACCATTAGAAATCCACCAACATCAGGAAGGCAGTGTGATGGGGAAGTCTCCAGTTCTACTACCAGCTGCAGAGCTATGGCACCCTCATGAAATCCATAGCAGCAAAACGGGGGCCTCATGTCCTCCTTTGCACCTGCCAGGCTGGTGACTCCACACTAAAACCTTGGAAGGAACACTCAATGACTCCTTGACCGTCCTTGCCAGTAGAAACAGCAGAAGCAGCAGAAGTGAAGCTGGAACCAAGCTAGTGCATCGTGAGAACCTAAATTATATTCAGAACTTTGTTTGAAGGAAGTGTGAAAAGTGAGTGTGTGGTGGTCCACCCCCGCAGTCGAGGAAGTCCTACCAAAAGGAGGTTGGAATGGCTATTGAGCACAAATCCACCTTGTCTGCTACAGACCACACCTTTGCCTGTTAAATGTTCCTGTACACTCTTTTTCCTAAATTTAAGTTTCCAGGTAATAGCAAGAACAACAGGTCCTCATTGACATCCCAGTCCACTTGCCTTCTCCCCAAAGAGTGACCAGCTCTTCTCTGTATCCATCTCTGGGTAATGTTTATTTTTTTCCTTAGCCCTGTCACAACCCAGTCTTGATGTCCCACAACCTTTGGGCTGAAAGATCAAGTAAATCATGACCAAAAAAAACCCACTTTATGAAATATTAGGGCAGTGAGGAAGGAATAAAAAGGAAAGGAGTTAGTATATGTAAATAATACATGGAGAGCAAGGAAAAAACAGGAGTAGCCACTGCAGTCTTCATTTTTGCTATTGATCACAAATCAAAGTTGATATTTGTAACTTCTTCCCTCTACTACGTATTCCCTGTAGTCTTTGCTCAGCCAATTGCTCAGCAGGTCAGACATCTTTGCCTGGTGACATGCCTGAAACCTTCCTTCCGGGGGTGTGTGAGTTCTGGGGTTGCTAAAGTCTTCTCTAACATTGGCCACTGGATGTGGCAGTACCAGGAGGACTTCCAGAGAATCTACCGGCTCTCACTGTGTAGCAGCACCTTTAATTCTCCCTGGGGTGAGGAGCCCAGTGATCAGAGGGCAAGCCCCAACTTCCAGCCTAGTGCAACCACCAGTCCCCCAGTGGAAACATGGCTCCCTTCGGTTCAGAAACTTCTAAATCAACCCAAACCCAAAGTCTGAGGTGAATTAAATTTAAGCATAGAAACATTTGAGAAGGCCAAACCTATTGTATTCATATTGTATGTTGAGAAGGAACCTGTATATATTTGTTAATTTTGGTTTAAGAGAATTTAACATCTTGGTTAAACAGGTCAGTTGTTATTCAAAATAAAAATTATAATTGATTTAGGTTCGTGATTTCTAAATTGAAGTCTTCCCTCATTTATACAAAGTACTGGGACAATGGAGAGAGCCTAAGACTCAGCATAGTTATAAAATGATAGTTATAAATTATATATACATATAGTTGTAAGATTCAACATGGTTTATTCAATTTACAAAAATAAATAATTAGGAGGTTTTTTGTTGTTGTTAAGAAAGACACCTGAGTTATGTTAAAAGGAAATCTAATACATCAAATACATAAATGTAGTTTAAAATGTTTAAAGGAGTTTTAACTGAATTTATAAAAGCTTCCTTATATGTGATTATCAAATTTTGCTATCTTTACACATAGAATAATAGGATCTATAAGCTGAATCTAAGACAGGGTTTGGCAAATATTTTTTATGAAGAGCCAGATATTACTAAATATCTTAGGCTTTGTGGGCTCTATGGTCTCTATTGTAACCACTGAGCTCAGCCACTATACCACAAAAACGACCACAAACAATATGTAAATGAACATATGTGGCTGTGTTCTAATAAAATTTTACTTAACGCAAACATGCAGACAGCCAGGTTTGGCCCACAGGCAGTTTGCCAAACTCTGATCCAAAAGATTGAAGATTTTTAAATGTATAAGTTTTTAAATGTGTAACTTCAATAAGTCAAATATTAAATATAGTAACCACTGAATACTCTTTGCTGTACACAAAAGCCAACCTCAAGGGTATCTAAAAACTCGAGTTTAAATGAGCTTCCTGGCCTTGGAGACAATGTTATGTAGCAGAAACAAGATGAGTTTTGGAGTTTGAGACCTAGTTTCCACTCCTAGCTCTTCTACGCAAGTAACTACACTATTTGGGGAAAATAGTTTAGTCTTTGATCTTTGTAAAGAGAAGAATATAATCAAACATACACTCATAGATTTGTTGTGCTATTCAAATGAGATATAAAAATGTATATTGAAACTAGAAAGTGTCTTTCAAAAATAGAGTACTCTTATTGTAACCCAAGTATAAATGCATTTGTACAAATTGTAGGTCCACAAAAAAGTAACAAGAATTTAGAGTAATTTCTTACCATACTTATCACTTGGATAATTTAATTCTTGGTTATAACTATTCTATGATGTTCTGGTAATCAGAATTTGAATTAATATACTACTCAGAAATTTGTCTGTTTAACATTGAAATATTAACATAGGCATTTTATCATTTTAACAGTTTCAACATAGATTCTTTTTTTTTTTGTTTTTTTGTTTTTTGTTTTGAGACAGAGTCTCGCTTTCTTGCCTAGGCTAGAGTGAGTGCCATGGCGTCAGCCTAGCTCACAGCAACCTCAGACTCCTGGGCTCAAGCGATCCTCCTGCCTCAGCCTCCCGAGTAGCTGGGACTACAGGCACGAGCCACCATGCCCGGCTGATTTTTTTTTATATTATATATATTAGTTGGCCAATTAATTTCTTTCTATTTTTATGGTAGAGACGGGGTCTCGCTCAGGCTGGTTTTGAACTCCTGACCTTGAGCAATCCGCCCGCCTCGGCCTCCCAGAGTGCTAGGATTACAGGCGTGAGCCACCGTGCCCGGCCTTCAACATAGATTCTTAATGAGGCTAACTTCTTTCCCAGGAAAAGATCAATTTTTAAAATTTAATTCATGTTTTTATAGTTTGCTGTATAGCTTTAGACTCAGGAAGAGTCT